CTGGGACTTGCAGGCACTCATTCACAGAACTCTGTGAATGAGTGATGCAGCCATGTAGGCAGAGCCCTGCACGGCCACACTGTTTTCAAATCTGACAGATGGGAGAAGTCTCCCCATACTATCAGAGGGAGGGGCGGTGGTCGTGGCTGCTATAGGAACATTTTACATGTTCCACCCTAAAAACAGGAACATGGTCTAAAAGGTGAACTTATCTTTTAATGCATAGAATGCATCAAGTTTAAAAACAAAAAAAAACCTTGAGCCTTTAGAACGTTATCTGATGTAGATTTCACAGAAAGAAGTCACACCATGAATATTGAACTTTACCTCAATTTATTTAGCCTATTCACAGAAAAAAAAAAAGTCACATTTTTTCCCCCACAGTGAGATACACATTAATCTCAAAAAATATAAAGCACAACATTGTTGCAAATCAAGACTGAAAACAATTTGCTAAACAAAATACATTTAGTATGCTAACATACTGTCAGTTTACATACACTGCAGGTACCTTTAACATGTAAGGTGTCCATTTCAAGCCTTTTGTAAGGTAAAATAAATATGGATAGGTTCATAAAACAGGAAGAGTTCTGGATGCATGCGCCAGTTTATCCAAAAAAAAAAAAGCAAGGACACCCACAGTTTGGCATACAGTAGCTTAAAATAAATTTATACGTAGAGAGGAAGTGCTTGTAGGAAGTCAGCAGCACACAAACAAATCACTGGTCTTTTCAAATTCTCCAAGCCTGTGGATAGCCTGGCATGTTACTCTTTTAAGCTAAATGCTAAACTATCAAAAAATATTGACCTTGAACAAAAAAAAGTAAATTTGTACATGCCTTGCATACTATGTATTGTCATAATACCATACAGGACTGTACCAAGTCGACCCAATGGTTATGTTTTGTACACCAAGTATGAGTATTATTCAGTAGTTGGCAGAGAAGAGCAGATGGTAACACCCTGTAGAGGGCTATAGAGATTGTTTTTTTTAGTATTTTTTTTTCCTGTGGCAAGTGTTAAAACCAGTGTGATACAAACTATCACTAGGATAATTTTAACATCTAACCACAATAGACAGTGCATACTTGAAGAGAAAAATGAAATGAGTGATTGCTATGCTGATGAAATTAACCCATTTCCACCAATCAGGTCCAAGAATTTTTTTTTGGTAACTGCCCTAGGCCAATTGGGTGTTCAAAATAAAAGGTTTGCTAAACATTAATAAATAGAAATTACTCCATAAAATGACTCCCCAAATGTGGCATAAAGAATATGAACCACTGTGTGTATGCTGCTTTATCACATAACTGGGGTTTGATTTAGTAAGAGCAGTGGATGTTCACTGAGCTTGGTAAATAAAGTGAAGCTGGATTTACTTCAAACAACCTAGAAAAAGCAGTTTATTTTTTTAATGCAAACAGGTTCACTTTATCCATTTGCTTTGCAAAGTAAACAGTCTATTCTTTTAGTACATCAACCTCATTGTCACACCATTAATCAAGCAGTTCTAAAATGAACTGAACCGCACTACACTACACAAAACAAAAAAAAACAGATGTAAACCTCTCCAAAACTTGTCACGTCATGAGAAAATAAAAAGGGTGCACAAAAATTATATTACTTGAGCTAGCTGTACACATTTGGTCACAATTCAAGCTGTTGGTGGTCCTGGTGGCACCACTTTGGCTCGACAAACTGATTCAAAAGGAGACTAGTGGAACATTGTCAAACAGTAACTACATCCTATTGGATATGGTCAAAGTTGGGGTATTCAGGCAACCAAGGTTGCTTGAATACAATAGCTGGCAGTGGAGATTTCTCCATCCATGCCCAAGACTACCATAGAAATTTTGCTTTCCCTGGCTATAGATATAACCAGTTTGAATATCACTAACAATAATCATAGACACGAAATCAACAAATAAAATCAATCACTCGTTCAAAGACATACTTGCTTGACTTAAAAAAAAAAAAAAACAAAAAAAAAAAAACAAAAAAAAAAACCACAAACAAAAACCCTACCTGCTTATTATAAAGTCAAGTTAGCTATTGCACCAAGCAGGGATGAACAAACACAGCAATTTAAATTTTTCCTTCATATTGGGTTAAGTAATCTTAGAGCAATGCCCACTTATAGTGGACCTAAATAGCATAACCCTGTAATATAAACCCATCAAAAATACATAGGGCTGCAATTTAGTAACTTTTCTGAAAATGTTAATTCCTTTGGCTTCAATACCTTTAATCAATGACATGTAGTATGACAATGTCCAGCTTTATTCTGACACTTGTTTCCTACATGATAGTTCTGGGACAGAGCCCCAATATTTTTCTCATAAGAAAAATAAGAGGAAAATGTGACATCAAATACTCATTGATACATGTACACTTTTGGTATGGTGCATTTGATAGAGAAAAAAAAAAAAAAAAAAAAAAAAAAAAAAAAAGTTTCCACGCAAAACAATGTCCTGGTTTAAGTGTTTGTAAAAGCAATACTAGATTAAACTTGCCGGTTTGCGGTTTGTTTTTTTGACAGGCTATGTATATTGTTGATCTACAAACCAAATATTTACAGCACTTACAATCACTATTTTAATAAGCCACCTAGACAGCTGTTACACCTTTAAAAAAGTAACTGCAGTCCAGTCTGTTTAGGACTAGAGAAAAATGTTATAGTTAAGGCCTCATGCATACAGTTTTTTTTTTTTTTTTTTTTTTTAATTTTTAAACACTCCGCTAGAAAACTTTTCCTGACAGCAGTGTTGTGGCAATAAAGTCTGGCACTGACATTTACCCACGCCAAGCATTTGGGCATTAATTCCACTGGCCAGAATAAAAATGCTCAAGCCAAAACACCACTGCTCTAGGATGCACTGGCAGTGAGTTTTTTTCCCCCCCCCTGCCACAACGCTGCTAAAAGCTTGTGGTAAGATAGGCAAAGGCTCAAATTGAAGAGAACCGGTTTCACATTCATATTTGCAGTTACACAACTATATGCACTGCCAGTCCCATCAAGATATATACACAGTCTGTTTTACTAGTTGCCAAACTTGCAGACCAGAAGTTTGAATTTCAAACGGCAGAATGCTTGTTCCAGTGCAGAGAGCTATACACCTAGCATTTCCCTTCAGCTCTACTTATCCCCACATCTTATAAAGTTCTAATGCACACGGGCTTCCCCAACCCCTTCTTTCCAGTGGGGAAGGGGGGGGGGGGGGGGGGGGAAGGGGGGGAAGTAAATAGGAGAGTTCTGGCACTTTAGCCACTGGTTTAAAAATGTCATTACAAAGCCTAATAATGTTCTAGAATGACAGCCAGCACTCCTGTATCCCCAAACTGGAGCTGAAAGGTAATTTACAGGCTTCAAAAAAAAAAAAAAAAAAAAAAAAAAAAAAAAAGCTACCTGAAGCTTGCTATACAAACTTTTTTTTTTTTTTTTCTCCACAAGATAGGAACCCTAGATCATAGTATTAATCAACCGTATTCAGAACTGACATGTTCAGCTTCCATTATGAAGAATTATACATATGCAACCATGTTACTATTAGAGACTGGCTGCTGTTGCCATGCATCTGCAATTAGATACAACATAAGGGTTATTGATTCAGAGGCAAAGCTTTTGAGTGCAAGACTATTATAGATGCAGGTTGCTAAAATAGTTTGCTGTAGCAACTTCCTCTGAAAGTCTACCCTCTACTCCCAAGAACACAAGTATTGAGTCAGATACATTACTGAATGCCAGAAATGTCCAGCAACAAGTTTTATCAGCTGGAGATTCTACGCTTCCACCCATTATCACCAAACTCACTACAGGTGTTCTAAAATTAAAGTGTCCCCAAAACACTTACCTGCTTTGTGCAGTGGTTTTTACATATAGTAGTTCCTGCCATCAAAGCAAGCAGCTATGGGGGCACTCAAGCAAGCTTGCTCCTGAGCTGCACACCTTTACAACCACCTTGGTGGAAAGGGGGGGGGGGGGGGGGGTTACAAGAATAAGTTGTGGAGGGATGAGGGTAACTGCTGTATTGACTTGAGATCAAGAGGTTGCCAACTCATCCCTGCTTAAAAGTAAAATACATATAAAAAAATTGGTTGCACTGTTCCAGTAGAATAAGGTTTGAATAATTTGTGCCTCAGTTTTCTGGCAGCAACTCCAAAATCTCTGTAAAACAGGAACCCTATTGGAGCTGGTAGCCCTACTTGACTGACACACACTGAAGTTAAACCTGACCTTACACAAAAAAAAAAAAAAAAAAAAAAAAAAAAAAAAAAAAAAAAAAAAAAAAAAACACACCACACACACAACACATGAAAATACTATGTGGCAAGTGTTTCATGTCATTCTTTTTTTCCTTTATGGAACAGAGGACACAACAGGAATTAAACACAAAATTCCTATCCCATGCTGCATATATCAAGTAAACAGGACACAATGCTCTTAGAATTGAATATGTGCCAGTTCAGTCAGAGCATTGGTCACTTACAGGGAAAAATTTGACAAAATTCCATATATATCCTTTCTGCAATCCTATTAAAACAATATCTGAAGTTTTGGGTGGAGAGCAGTTTACAACTACTTAACTTACATCAGCACAGGCTATCCTGGTATCACAAGTACATTTCATGAACTTAATGAAAGGTTTAGTTTTTCAAAGGGGGGGGGGGGGGGGGGGGGGGGGGGAACAAAAAAAAAAGTTTAAGTATCACTAGCATGTTTGATGTAGTATAGTTTATTTTCTTCCCATTTAAAGGCCATTGAAAAGCATTTACAGTTTCCCCAAGTGCATTACAACAAGAAGGGGAAAGGAAAAAAGAAAAAAAAAGCAGTAACAAAATAAAGCCGCCTTGTCTCCAGGCAACTAAACAAAAGTCATTTTACTGCAACATATACACATTAAATATAGTATACAGTCCATGCAGCTGCTCAGCCATGTTAGAGGGGATCCTGGCTCCAGCCATCAGTGCATTACAGTCCATAATTTCCATTGTGCCTTTTTCTAGCCAGACTTGAAGAGAAGAATTGCAACCTGGCCCAAATAGAAATAGATGAAGTGTTTTGTCTCATGTGTTACATAGCTGCCAAAGTTTCTGCCAACAATGCAGTGCCAAGTTGGGTTGTATTTCTTGTCAAATTCCTGCAAGAGAAAGAAAAAGTAACATAAATGCAAAGGGAAAGTTACATTACTGGTGCAACCAATATATGCCAAGAACTGAGGGGCACAAGATGCAAAGTCATACAATTCTTAAAGTAATCTTTAAGGCAGCTTTCACATTGATTTTTAGATCAAACACACGCCAAATGTAATAGGACACCCCTCCAAATCATTGGATTCTGGTGTTCCGATCACCTCCATGGCCACAGGTGTATAAAATCAAGCACCTCAGCATTCAGACTGCTTCTACAAACATCTGCAAAAGAATGGGTCGCTCTCAGGAGCTCAGTGAATTCAAGCATGGTACTGTGATAGGTTGCCACCTGTGCAATAAGTCCATCCATGGTATTTCCTTGCTACTAAATATTCCACAGTCAACTGTTAGTGGTATTATAACAAAGTGAAAGCAACTTGGAACAGCAACTCAGCCACATAGTGGTAGGCCACGTAAAATGGAGCAGGATCAACACATGCTAAACACATTGCGCACAAGCCACCACCTACCTGCAGAATAAACTAAAGGCCTCCAAAAACTTCATGTGGTCTTAAAAATAGCACAAATAGTATGTAGAGAGCTTCGGTTTCCATGGCCAATCAATGTGCAATGCAAAGCATCTGATGCAGTGTTGTAAAGCACACCGCCACTGGACTCTAGAGCAGTGGAGACGTGTTCTCTGCAGTGACCAATCATGCTTCTCTGTCTGGCAATCAAGTGGACATGTCTGGGTCTGGCAGTTGCCAGAACAGTACTTGCCTGACTGCATTGTGGCAAGTGTAAAGTTTGGGGGGTGGGGGGGGGGGGGGGAGGGGGGGTTGTTTTTCAGGGGTTGGGCTTGGCCCCTCACTTCCAGTGAAGGGAACGCTTAAGGAGTCAGCATACCAAGACATTTTGGACACTTTCATGCTCCAAACTTTGTGGGAACAGTTTGAGGATGGCCCCTTCCCTGTTCCAACAGAACTGTGCACCAGTGCAAAGATCAAAGTCCATAAAGACATGGATGAATGAGTTTGGGGTGGAGGAACATGACTGGCCTGCACAGAGTCCTGACCTCAACCAGATAGTACACCTTTGGGATGAATTGGAGCTGAGACTGCGAGCCAGACCTCCCCCATTAAGATCAATGGAAAATGCAGCATAAAAACACCCAAAGCACACCATGATGCATTTAGTAGTTTCCAGTAGTAAAAAAAAAAAAAAAAAAAAAAAAACCCCACCTAAAATTATGTAACTAAGCAATACATGATAATGGTCTTCTCTGAACCTCCAGATCATGTGATGCCACAAAAAAAAAAAAAAAATTGCAACTCGTTACCCACTATTCAAAAAAATGTGTAATATACCTTTTTGATATAGGCAGCAATGTCTTTCTCAATGTTGTATTTCTCCATAGCTTGTGTGGCACAGTCCACAGCATCCTGCTGCATGTCCTCAGACATGTCAGCATTCTTGATCACAGCCTTTCTGTCAGACATAATGTACCTAGAACAGAGGAGTAAAAAAGGTTAGCTTTTGGGCACACCTTCCCAGTTCTTGACAGCAGTTAAGACTTGCAGGGAACAGATAGGTACACATTCTATGGGAAAGAGGCTGGCAAATTAATGTAGTATTCCAAAGGTAAACAATCTAGTTTTGATACTGCCAACAAGATTACAGAAATGACCCGCTATACATTTTAGTGTAGCCTACACTGACTGCAGGCACTAAATCACTTATGAAACACCTTTGCTACTCTAGGTATGCAGTACACGCCACTGAAAATGCATCTCAAGTGTGATTAATTTCGACCATTTTTCTAGGAACTTGGACAAAAACCCACCCACACAGCCAAAACACAACTCAACACTGGTCAAGGTACAAAGACATGCTCATCATAAGTTCAATCAGCTACAGCACAGCTGATATTTGTAACCACCTTGCAAAATGACTGTCAACAACATGTTAGATACAATTTAACAGGCAAACTTCATCAGATACATTTCAATACTAATCACACACCCTGGTCACATCAAAGCAGATTTTGAAATCATGCGACTTACAGTGAAGGCGCGCGAGTTGGGGGGGGGGGGGGGGATTTTGAAATCGCATGACCTGCCAATTTCTGCTGCAAATTGCAAGACATTTGACACAGAGGTCTATACAAATTGCAACAAAAAGTAGTGCATGTACCACTTTAGAAATCAGTGTGGCTCCAAGACAGAACCACACCGATTTGATCTAATAGCACACAATAGGGTGCGACTTGGCATACAATATGCAAGTCGCACCCGAAGTGACCGGGGGCTAATGTGACCTTCAGTGCAAAAGAATTGCACGAGATCACAAATGAACCTAAATAGTGCAAAGTTGTTTAACAAAACCGCATCCCACAGAATAGATATATTTTACCATGCAATACTTGTATCCCATAACACTACAGCTCAAGCCAACAGGGAGGATAACTGGAAAGCAGCTGCTGAAAAATATATCCTGGAGGCAACACAGTAGCTTGTTTTGGCAACACTTATAGTTAAACATAAGTGGTGTTGAGCAGATGTTAGTCTGGTGACCACAGAAAAGTGCTGACAGCTATGGTTGGACATGAACTAATGCACTAAGCTTCCATGTGAACTGGTTTTATACAGCCAATGTTGAAATATGGGTGCAGAAAAAAAAAAGTGAGACTTCATGTCAGTTTACAATTGGCGATTATACTATGTTCAAAGCCACTTCTGATGTTGTGGAGTGAGCACTAGAACAATAGAACTGAAAGTGCAGAAAATCACTTACTGTAAACTCTTCACTGGTAGTAAACAGGATCTTCAATATCTAGAAAGAAAAAATTAAAAGTCACCAGCTACAAATACTGTAGCTGATGTCTTCTAATAAAAAAGGATGCTTACCTGTTCAGAGATCCAGCGCTGTCCTCACCTTGGACGGTTCTTTGCCAGTCTTTGGGTCCCTGGCACATTTAGTGTGGGAAACCAGCTGACTCCTTGTAGGAGTCGCACTGCACTCTGAACGGTCCCGCAGGCTCTTGTCGCGACATTTGACGTGTCCCAAGAGGTTGCGGGCAGAGGGAATAACTTCCAGTGGAATAGTCTAGGGTGGCAATTCCAGCAGAAGTTGGAGCGGGTACCTGCCGAAACAAGATACCTACTCTCTCCCACAAAAACAAACCTTTGATAAGGTCGGGGGGGGGGGGGGGGGGGGGGTGGATTCTTAAAAGCAGAACTTCCTGTTTAGGGTTCTACCTTAAGATGGCCTGACATTACAATGGCATTTGACCCCTTTCACATGGACAGTCCAGGGTCAGGTCCACCTGTTCGTTCTTCAGGTGGACCTTTCATTCTCCTATGGGCAGTCAGGTGTAAACATCTCTTTACACGCAATTACCTCCTATCCAGCAAAATCAAATGGAATGAGGTTCCATTCCCCTCTGTGTGGCTGGATCAAAGTGGAGTTGGGGGTAAATGGACAGCCAGTTTGTTTATACTGGACTACCCATAGGAGAGCCTGCTGTGTCAGTTTTGCATAAGCAGAATGCACCGGTCATCCTGCAGCTCTGCTCAGCCGGGGATAAGCTGACGGATCTCCTGCTGAGCAAAACTGGAAAGGGGCCTTAGTCCCAGCAGCTTTTTACCATGAACTACTGGCAGTAAGGTGGATTGGTACTACCATGGCATTTGTCTCAGTGGTTTCTTACCATGAACTGGTGTTCAGGGGCACAGATACACTGCATGTGTATTGCAGCACCTTCTTACCATGAACTCTCTAGATGGTAGCAAGATGGATTGATGACTAGTGGCATTTGTCTCAGCAGCTTACCATGAACTCTCCACTCAGGTGTTCATGGGGGACAGATACATATGCCATTGCAGTACCTCAGCAGCTTCTTACCATAAACTACTGGTGGATTGAGACTACAGTGGCATTGGTCTCAAAGGCTTACCATGAACTGTACTGGTGGATTGAGACTACAGTGGCATTTGTCTCAGCAGCTTCTTACCATGACCTTTCACCTGGTGTTCAGATACACAGCAATGGCATGTGTATCTCAGCAGCTTCTTACCATGAACTGTACTGGTGGACTGAGACTACAGTGGCATTTGTCTCAGAGGCTTCTTACCATGAACTCACCACTGCTGTTCAGGGGGACAGATGCATATGCCATGGCAGTATCTCAGCAGCATCTTACCATGAACTCTACTGGTAGTAAGGTGGACTAAGACTACAGCAGCTTCATCTCTAGTGGTGTTAAGGTGGTCTGACCCTCCAATGGCATTGGTGGATAGGAACGGAAAGGTATGGCTACCTAGGAAACGTGAGATGATGCAGCTGTTTTATGTGGCCATGGGATACACATGACCCACCCAAACAACAGGTTTGTTGGGACAACACAGCAACATCATCCATATGAAGACCAGCTGTGTGTCTCTCCTAGGCCACCCCATGCACAGCCAAATTACATAACAGGAGAGCATGCACAAGCAACCATCCATTGAGACACCAAATTATAATGAAATACCCATGTGCAAAACATGGCTGCTCAGAATATGGCCATTAGGAAATGGTGACATGTAGTATGGAATAATAGACCCAATCTCAGGAACAGAGTGCTGGAGGTTGGGCTGAGCAGTGATGGGCCCGTCAGTATCCATGCCCTTTAACAGTGCACAGGTCCAGGCTAACCATGAGGCCCCTAGTCACCCCAATGTAGGTCTGCAGCGTAACGCTAACACGGCCCCGACCAGGACACCCACCCACCTCACTCTATACACGCCATACGAGTCGCCGCCTAGCTGCTACCATAGGAAGCCTCCAGAAAGGCCCACTGTACAACGGGTGCAAAGCAGTGTCCAGAAGGCTCGCACTCCCCCCAGCCTGTGCAGCCCGCTTACCTATCACAGTGTAGAGAAGCCCCCTCAGCTCGCTGTATCTCTCTCCAGACTTGACTAGCGCTCTGACACTCGGCGTCCCTGTGAAATAGCAGCTCCTCCCCCTGCAGTGGCTCAACCAACCGCCGTCGCTATTGGTGGAAGCCGCGCCCTCCCCAGCACTGCAGGCATTTTCCTCTCGCTCTCCTCTGCCTACATCTTATTTCATCCCACAATGCCGTGAGAGGAATTGCGGAGCGGCCGACCACGATTACCAGTGGCCTATCAACGACTACGTTCTAGTTCATGGCTCCTGCTTCTTCCCGAACGTGGAAAAAGTTTGTCAGAGGAGCGGTATAGGGAGAATGATGCTGACAACTGCTGTAAGAAACCTGACAGAACACAGGGGAGGGTTTATTAACTGACTGGATGACGTGTGGTCTGCTTGGGCACTCTGTATCACGAAAGGTTGCTATTTAACCCCTTGACTACCAGGCACTTCCACCCACTTCCTGCAATTTTCTGCTTTCAGTGCTGTCGCACTTTGACAATTGAGCGGTCATGCAACATTGTACGCATATTAAATTTGTATCATTTTTTTCATACACAGACCTTTCTTTTGGTGGTATTTAATCGTCACGGGGGGGTTGCACTATAAACGAACAATAGCAAAAAATTTGAATAATAAAAAAGTTTTTCTTTGTTTTTATTATAGAATTTTGCAAACAGGTAATTTTTTTCCTTCACTGATGTGCGTTGATGAGGCTGCACTGATGGGTACTCATAAGCAGCACTGATGAGGTGGCACGGATAGGCAGCACTGATGAGGTGGCATGGATAGGCAGCACTGATGAGCATTGATAGGCAGCACTGATGGGTTGACATGGATAGGCAGCACTGATGAGGTGGCATGGATAGGCAGCACTGATGATTGGTAGGCACATGGAGGTGACAGGCAGCACTGATGAGGTGGCACGGATAGGCAGCACTGATGACGTGGCACGGATAGGCAGCACTGATGAGGTGGCACGGATAGGTAGGACTGATAGGCTGCACTGGTGGGCATTGATGAGGAGGCACTGAAGGGCGGCACTACTGGGCAGCTCTGATGGGTGGCATTGCAGGGCACTGATCATCTGTGACAGCTACCGGTTATCGGCAGTACTTTCCTCACGCTGTGACAGCATGAGGAGAGTACTGCCGATAACCGGCAACTGTATTTACTCCGTGATCTGCTGTGTCATTAGACACAGCTGGTCACATGGTAAAAGGCCGCTGTCATTGGCCTTTAACCTCATTAAGTGATCAGCTATGTACATAGGACACAGCGATCACAGAGCCCGCCGGGTACACGCCCCTGCACTGCAGCCATCATTCGGCTATAGTGTGGTTACCAAGTGGTTATGAAAAATGACATATTTCTTTTCAACTATATTTAATTTTTTGCTGCATCCAAATGGTGCAGATCTTCTGCAGCCTCTTTACAGCCACTTGCTGTCTCTGTGTACCCCTGGGATGGCTTAGAACTGTGGTCCATGCATGCATACTGTGTGTGTAAACAGCCATTTAGACTCGGTTCATGCTTATTCCCTCATTCATTTGAATGGGCTGCTATGGCCACGTTTCAGCTCAAGAATGGTGCATGCACCTTTTTAAAAATGCGGCTACAAGGAAATCGTATGGTCTTTTTGACCTTGCGGTTCCCACACCCGCAATTGTGCTGTGGGCTGAGATGCATGGGAGTGCCATTCACAATGAATGGAAGCCCTGCACGTCTTGTAAGAGCAGCACGATTCAGGTAAGGGAACAGGTACGATACCCGCAACCAGCCCCGCGATTGTGGACCTAGCCTTAAAGATGAAGTACAGCCAAAGCTCTTTTGGCTGTTCTTCTCCTGTGGATCACTTGAGTGCAGTTCGTTCTGCACTCCTATGACCTGTTTTCAGCTAACATCACTCAGCTGGTCCAGGCTGGGGAAAGATCCTGACTTTAAATTCGGGATCCACCCCCAAGTCTGGAGCAGCTCCTGGCTCAGCCTCTTAGTGATCTGCTGAAAGCCTGAGCCAGCCACTCCATCCCCTTCCACAGCTAAGTGCTCTAGTGTCCCCGGAAAGGGGGGGGGATTGGGAGAGAGAAGACTACAGTAACTTTGCTCAAAGCGGCTGAGAAAACTCGTGATCCCTGTAGAAGTTCTCACCTTTAGAACTGGCAGGGGACAGATGCAGCATCGGACTAATGCTGCATCCATCTAACTATGATTTTGAAAAAAAAAAAAAATATGCCTTTTTTTTTTTAAAGCCCCTCTCCGGCACCCCAAGCTCCAGCAGTCTTGAGTTGTGGACTGTTCCTGACCAGAGCAAACCCCGTAGATCAGGAACTGTCCACTGCTGGACAAAGGATCGGGTGAGTATAAGCTTTCTCCTCACCCCTAGTAAATACAAGGAGTTGACCCGTGCAGTGTGGGCACAGCCCCACTGTATGGGAAAATCTTTTTTTTGCCCAGAGTTGGGCTTTAGGCTGACCATAGATGGATTGAAATTCATCCAGTTTAGCAGAGGCCAGTTGAATTTTGATCCATCTATTGGCAGGCTGGTTGTATGGAAGTCGATCTTTCAATCGACTTTTGTACAACCAGCCTGTTGGAACATTTTTTGCTTCAGTTATCAGTGCCAGCAGGGCTGATGAGTGTATTCTGAAGGCAAGGTGTGCTACAGCTGTTCTCTGCTTTTCACTGACAGGAGTGACTGCAGTGTCACTCCTGTCAGCACTGATTTTTTCCTTCCTGTACCGATTATTTGTTTACAAATAATAGCTTGTCTCAAGTGACAGCACTTCTTCAGTTCAGGAGCAGCTGCCAGGAGGCTGGGCTTGGATCACTCTGCAGGACTGGGTAAATAGCAGGGGGTGGGTGGTAGAGTGCTGTGCTGGGTGGGGAAAGTTGAGCAAGAGGAGGGGGGAACTTTTTGTACTGGGGACTGGAGAAGAGAGGAGCTCTGTGTACTGGTGGATGGTGGGAGGAGGCGAAGTTCTGTGTACTGGGGGGGGAATTGGAGGAGAAGGGAGTTCTGCACTGTGGGGAGGGGGGTGCTCTGTACTGGGGGCCTACGGGGAGGAGGGAGGTCTGTATCGGGTTGAGGAGGAGGAAAGAGCTCTGCGTATTGGAGGGGTGAGCTTTGTAGTGAGGGGGGGGGGGGGGGCAGAATTAAAGGAAGAGCTCTACTGGGCTTGAGGGAAGAAAAAGTGGTATTATTTTTTCCAAAGACACCAGCAATGTAGGGACAATTGTTTCCTTCCAGTGACACCACCGACACAGGGACTTTGTTTTGTTGGTGATACCATTGACTCGGGGGAATTTTTTCATTCCAGTCACATCACCAACTCGGGAACATTTTTTCATTTCAGTGACACCACCAACCAAGGGGCACTTTTTCCTTTGTCACATTTGTGCACCTATTTTGAACTTTTCACTGGTACTATTTTATTGTATGCCATAAACATAGCATTTTGGTGCTTGTCACTATTGGTATGTTCGCCCTGGCCACTGGTTGACATTGTACTAGCACTTCCTGTGGATGGTCAGTTCTGGGTGAAGACAGTCTCTGCCAGGTCCAGTCATCCACAGATAATCACTACATGGGCAATTACATGTTAATGGCTGCGGGCAGCAGTTCAGAGAACACCGTTCTGAGCCTCCAGATGGAAATTTAATTGGCTCCAAACTCAGGAGGCCTAAAAATAAAGTTTGGTAAATTTTTTTTTTTTTTTTTTTGCTACAGCTGCACACAGCTCGGGAAATAGGTCGTAATGCACTGGTGCATTGGTGTTTTCGCAAGTACAGCCAGACAATTGTATGGGCAGTTATACATGCCATCTGTGGCTCCCCTGACACAGGAAAAGTGCCAGGAATTTTATGATTGAGCCTTTTTGATCCTCCAAATGCCCATGTGCATGAAGCTTTTAAGGTGGTTGTAAACCCTAAGGCTAGGTCCAGACATATGCAGTGCAAATTCTTTCTGTTTTCTAGTGCGATTCAGTGAGCATCTCCAGTGCAAATCGCCTGTGGTTCTGCTTGAATAGCAATGCGTTTTCCATTTTGGTACAGTTGCATTCTCTCTCTCTCTACCTGTGAAAATGCACTGGAATCACATTACATATGAACACATGAAATGATTTTCATTAAAGCCTATGGACCTCAAAATCGTAACACAGCTCCAAACTCGCACACCATTTTTCACTATGCACTGCATATACACACAGTGTACAGTTGCAAGAAAAAGTATGTGAACCCCTTGGGATTACGTGGAGTTTTGCATGAATTGGGCATAAAATGTGCTCTGAACATCATCTAAGTCACAACAATAGAAGAACACAGTCTGCTGAACATAATTCTACACAAACATTAGATGCTGCCATGGTTTAATTGCACATAACATGTAAACATTCACAGTGCAGGGAGGAAAAAGTATGTGAAGCCCTAGCTTAATTACTTCTCCCAGAGCTAATTGGAGCCAGGAGTGAGCCAACCTTGATTCCAATCAGTGTGATGATATTGGATGTGTTGCTGACAGCTGTCCTGCCCTTAAAAAACACACACCTGTTTTGGGTTTACTGGTTTCAAGAAGCACTGTCTGATGTGAACCATTCCTCACAGAAAAGAGCTCTCAGAAGACCTACGATCAAGAATTGTTGACTTGCATGAAGCTGGAAAGGGTTACAAAAGTATCTCCAAAAGCCTTGAGGTTCATGTGTCCACAGTAAGACAGACTGTCTACAAATGGAGAAAGTTTAGCACTGTTGCTACTCTCCCTAGGCGTTGTCGTCCTGTAAAAAGTGACTGCAAGAGCACAGCGCAGAATGCTGCATGATGTAAAGAAGAATCCCAGAGTGTCAGCTAAAGACCTACAGAAATCTCTGGCACATGCTAACATTTTTGTTGACACATCTACAATAAGGAAAACATGAAACAAGAATGGAGTACATGGGAGGACACCACGGAGGAAGCCATTGCTGACCAAAAAGAAGATTGCAGCACATTTGAAATTTGCAAAAGAGCACCTGGATGTTCCACAGCACTACTGGCAGAATATACTGTGGACAGATGAAACCAAGATTGAGTTGTTTGGGAAGA